TAAATATGCCACACTAACACACACAGACACGATATTAACTTCAAAAACATGTAAGTTAGCATTTCTAATGTGCAGATTCAACATAATGATCATGAAATACAATGACCATTTTAAAATATTCAGTCATTAATAAATGAATCCAAAGAGAGTCAACTGAATGGTTACAACCAGCTTCCTACAATTTAACAGGGTTGTGGGAGAATGAAGAGCACCGTGCTGTTCACATTTTCTAACAAACTTTAGATCTTTGACAGATCTTACAAAAACAGATTCAGTGTTCCTCAAAATGAATAAAACTGTGAAATGCAAACTAAGAATATGATGCAAACCTGTAATAATTAAATGTTAATTAACACAAATATCCTTTATATTTATCCTTTGTATTTAATCCCATTTTATTAACGCATGTCTTTACTGCTGACATTTGATGATCCAATTCAACCATACTAATAAGCAAACATTACTTTAGACAAACATGACATTTGTGTGTTGAACTTTCTTCTCCTGCGTCATGGCAGCATAGCTGAAAGGTTTGTTTTGACTGCGTCCTCTACTGTACAGATATGAATTTACATTTCCTTCAGCCTGAGGCTTATTCATTTCATTTTACATTTGTTCACTTTTTTTGTGAAAGGGCTTATATATATATATATATATATATGACAAAAATAGAACCTTTTATATTAAGCAAGCAGATGAGGAAAAAGTAACACAAAAGTAACAACACATTACTTTCCATAAAAAGTAACTAAGTAACGTAATTAGTTACTTTTTAGAGAGTAACACAATATTGTCATGCATTACTTTTAAAAGTAACTTCCCCAACACTGCTTAAGACACAAACTCTTGTTAGATACAAGTCTATAATCTGTGTTTACATTATTCTCCCATCCAAATTAGAATGATTCAGTTCGTAACTGCTTTTGCTACACAGCAAAATCCCCAGTGTTAAATTAACACTCTGAGTGTGGACTCATATAAACGCTGAAGCAGTGTTGAGGTAACACTGAAGCAGAGTTAAAGTTAATGAGATAATTAGGTGATTAATTAAGTGATGATTGGTCATTACTGAAGACGCCTGGTGATAACAAGCAGAATCACCAAAGGAGAAAAATCACAATTTAAGTCACCATTATAGTGGCCAGTGTTTGCATTAGTTGGGCTCTTGACCCTTACATTTCTAACATTAGATTGTGTTTGGTTGCTGTAACTGAGTTATAACAGCCAGCCAAGCCAAGAGCAAAAGTCATCAGGTGGTGTTGATTGTTTTAACATAATCATTATTTGACCTAAATCACTGAACTCATTTAGAGTCTAATCTCTGAGTTACATTTCCTTTATTGATTATAACAGCCTTGTGATTCCACAGCAAAATATCCTGCATTTTCTATTAAGTTCTGAAGGATTTATTTCAAGCTGTTCTGATATAAAAAAAAATGAAATAAAAAAAACTTGTAAGAAGTCTTTATTTTAGGCACACAGACATCAAGGACCAACATATGAATCTCAACAATATTGTTCATGTAATCAATAAAAAAAAAAATATATATATATATATATATAAAAAAAAACATTGTTATTCAGGTCTCTACATGATGATTACCTAATTATCTCATTAACTTTAACTCTGCTTCAGCGTTACCTCAACACTGATTCAGTGTTTATATGAAGTGAGTCCACACTCAAGAGTGTTAAATTAACACTGGGGATTTTGCTGTGTATCTCCTGCCATAATAACTACATTATTTTGCCTTCTTGATTTGCTGTACTTTACAATCAGTTCATACCAGCTCTGAATATAATAATATCTCACCCAAGTGAGTGTTCAAAGCGATTGTGGGAAGCACCAGGATACACCAGATATGTTCCTCCTAGCTGTTTGATTTGTCTCAGTCTCTGAAACTGAGGAGTATCTGTGATCTTCACCAGCAGGGGGTGCAGCTCAATGTGACCATGGATGGGGTCGTTGAAGACCTCCAAAATACAAAACAATATGA